TTTTTTTTTTTTTTTTGCATGTTATCACTGTGCCCGTTTTTTGCTTTTATTCTTTGTTCCGCAAAGTGCGCTCTTTTAGTTTGTAGTTATGTGACAATATATATAGAAACAGTTTGTCACAGCCCCTCGTTTGTTGTCCTCTTCTCCCTCTCTGCCTACGGTTTACCGGGCAGTTCTATTTGACGATATATATATGATGATATATATATATATGTGACGATATATATATGGCTGTCCCTCGATGAGGACAAGGCAGTTTTTAGGGGGGGGGGAAAAAAAAAGCGTGTGTCGGGAACCGGGCCCAGCGTCCCTCACAAAGTTCACCGCAGCTCTAAGGCTGAGCAAGGGACATCAGCAACATTTTGGTGTACCTGAGGACCCAATAGCAGTCAGATGATGCATCCTCGTGCAAGTATGCCTTGAGGCAGTTGCAGCCACTTTCGTTTTCTTGTTTTTTTTAAAGAAAAATGCGAGGCTCAAGGCCTCGATCTGCCCTACTGGGCCCTATTTTCTGTACGGTCGGCCGCCCTAAGTGAAGGCAGGCTCGACCGAGGGCCTACAGGTACTGGGTAAATTCAGGCAGTTGCGCAGCGCCAGTTGGTTGGAAGCGCCCACGCCCAGGGTGCCTTTTTCACATGTAACTGAGGCATGCCCTCTGCCGGATACACAATATGGACCGGACACAGATTGAGGCCAGTTGGGCGCTGGTAACCACCTCAGGCCGTGGGCCTGATCTGTCTGGACTGAGGCTCAGCCTCTCGGGGCCTACCGGAAGCTTGCGGGAAGGGGCCCAGTACCGCATACCGCAGGCAGCAGCAGGCCACTTCGATATAGGAAAGGGCCTGCCTCGACATTCGGCATTCGGGCACTGGCCGCATGCTGCGCTAACGCTGGCCAGCGCTCACGGGCTCACGGGCGAGCTGGAAGGAGCAGGCAGCCATAGCCGAGATGCGCTGCTGTATGCTGGATGGGACGCATGGTGGTTCTTGGGTGCATGTGGCATCTGTGAGTTGGGGATCGAGGTTGTGAGTGATACGAGAGACATATGTTACATACTTCAATGAGTATGGGCAGAACCAAAGATCAACCAATATAGGATGAGCATTTATGCAGCGGAAGTCTGGTAACGAACTGACTCACATAGACTGACTCACATAGACTGACCTACATGGCATCACTCCACACACATACAA